TTGCTGGAAGGATTGAAGTAAACCACCAAAAATCTCAGACAAAAGTTGGTCTCTAGGTCTAGGTTTGGATTTCTGACATCAAGAATACAAAGTAAGAGCGCTTTCTATTCCACAGCGGCGTTCGGAATGATATTTCTTGCATCAGCAACAGTCATGTTCAATAATCCCACAACCCCTTCCTCAACTTTGGACGTTTCTGCTAGAGGCTGGCTCCCGATGCGAACTGAAATCTTTGTAATATTAGGAAGTGGTTCATAATATGTTCCAAAAATAGTAACGCGCTATGGAGAGAAATTTACTTTGAGGGTAGGCCGTCGCATACCTCAGGAAGTTAGTCGCTGGCATCCCACCGCGTCGACCAGGGTTCGAGCTCAGGTGAGGTCATGTGGGATTTGTGGTAGACAAAATGGCACTGGGGCATGTTTACTCCGAGCAATTCAGTGCCCCCTACCAATTCTCATTCCAGCGACTGCACCACACACACATCATCATGATCATCAGCATCTATCATCCGTGGCCGATACTCTGGGCCGAAGAGTGGCCGACGTATCAAGTGGACTCAGCCTCACCCTATTCCACAAAATTAGAAAAAGATCTTAGGAGTGAGATCGTAAGTCCTATCTACACAATTGTAATTTTAGCAAATGTAGATGCATTTGTGCAAGCAACTACAAGTTCTGGAGTTACGAAGTTTGACACAAATGTAGTTGAAAGTTTTCTATTGATTCTACAGTCAATTTTTCTTGTAAATATAGATTTAATATGTTCTCATTTTCAGAATGATAAAGGAAATTGTCTTTTAGAAAGCAATATAGTTTAAAAAGAATTTAGTATAAGAATAGTTTCTTGGTTAACTAGGCGACTATAAGCTTCTTAAGTGAAAATTTGTTCCATGAACTAGCTTAATTCCATATACATGCGTAATATAAATATTCTAATTAACTAAACAATTCAAAGGGATCTGAGATGTTCTTGAGAAGCCAACAGTAGCTCAGCCTCTCAAAAAATTCAGAACATTTGTTGGGGACCGTACACAAGAGACCGCCCCTGGCCCACACCTTGAGTCACATGAATCCGGTCCAAACATTTCCAATATTCATTTTAATTTTATCCTCCCGTTTACGTGTAGGTCTTCCTAGTGTCTTCGTTTCTTCAGGTTTCCCCACCAAAGAACTGTATGCACTATTCTTCCATGAATGCTACATTCCCAGCTCACTTCATTCTCCTTGTGTCTGGCGACAAATACGAGTTATAAAGATCCTCATTACGTAATTTTTTCCAGCCTTCTATTTCTTCGCCCTCTTTGGTCCTTTTCTCGGACACCCTCAGCCATTTTACGCCCAGGAAGGTTCGTGGTACTTATTTCTGTTAGAGGATGAGTCGACCCTAGGGCCATAGGGCGGCTGGAAGGGTTACGTATATTGGAAAAAAAAAAGAACCGCATAGGAACTCGAACCCGAAATCCTTCGGCTTTTAGCATAGTACCTAAACAAACTACGCTATCGCGTGCCCCACACTCATATACTTTTATGGTTGAAATTACAGTTTTTGTAATTCTAATCTTATGTTTTCAGAGAGTAGGCAAAAACAGACATCTTGTAAAAAAATTTCAATTGAAATAATTCTCTTTGTACCTAACGTTCCCCCGAGGTAGTGTATACCTAGTGTGTGTGTGTGTGGGGGGGGGAGAGTTTGGGGTAAAAAGGCATTTAGCCTTCAGGATATTAAATTACAGAGAGCAAGAAATAACTCAAAATATAAAGTTTGCTCTTCGTGCTGCCCGTATAATTTCCAGAATAGACTCTTCTGTTGATACGTTGTTGAGGATCGACAAATAAAACCTTTTCTTTATAAATAATTCATTACTCCGTGCCACAATACCGTTATGATTATTGGAGTATCTGATATCCATATGTAAGTTCGTGTAGCAGTCGGCCGCGGAGCAGTCTGGCATCGAGACGTGGATATCCAGTTCTCTTCTGCACTGTAATCTTGTGCCTCAACTTACCTCTGTATTATACACACACATCTGTAGTTCTCATTGCTTCTACAATGGCAAAGTGTGATGACTCAATGCTGGGAAATTCTAGAGAGAGAACCTTCAGTTTCTTGTTGCAAACAATTCGCGCTGCTGGTATCCCAATTCTGTTGGAAAACGTGTCGATTTCTTTAAAATTATATTGCGTTGTAGCAAATAGTTGCGTTTACATATTCTATATTTCTATCGTTTTGGATTTGTTCACTCATCTCGAAGATCTGGAATACACCATGGAAACTGCCAGGGCAGCAATTCCAGGAAGTGGTATTATCTGGATATATAGCTTCCTGAGGTACATTGCAATTGTGTGACTGTATAGCTTCTACTTACAACACTGAATAATAAAGACGATTACATTTTGCATATAATCAGTGTGTTGTAGTCATATTTTGCACGTATATTACCGTATGATGTGTGAAGACAAAATATGTATTTAAGAGGCTTACGCGTTCTACCTTGCCGATCACGGTAGCCGAGCTCTCTAAGGCATGTACTGTCTTCACTCACTCAGAAGCCGGGATCTGGGTTCGAATCCGACACAAGAAATGGATGTTTGGTATGTGTATGTGTTTATTCTGCGTTTGTGTTGCCCTGTGTTTAGGTAGAGTCCTTGCGGCGGGTTGTTCGCTTGTACAAGAAGTTCTACCGTCTGTGAAACATGTTCATGAAACTGAAGAATTTAGAGGCCAGGGTTCGAGGGAGCAGTAGAGCCAGTGAAAAGAGTTCACTCTTACACAATTCCGACCCCAACTGTACTGCAGTAATTAAGAATCATTAACAGACTTCTGTTAATGTTTCTAGTATACATGGTCGAATAAGTAGAAATCTATATTTATCTATCTATCAATAGCTCTAGAGTCATTGTGGAACTTAGCCGTTTTTTTGGTTTCTTAATATATACACAGTCGGTAGGACTCCTTGGACGAATGATCAGCCCGTCGAAAGGCCGATACCTACACACAGAAAAACACGAACAAAGATTAAACGCCCACAGACATGCATGTCTCGAGTGGGATTCGAACCCATTATACCAGTGTTCGAGCGGGCGAAGACGGTTACTGCCTTAGACCGCGCGGCCACACTGATCGGCAAAGTTAGATGCCACAGTTAATTTTCCAGAACACATGTTTATTCAGTTAAACCGCGAAGGAAGAACATTAAAGTTATGCACCACTGTCAGCGTTCTTATCAACATTTCTCATAATAGGCCTGCTTTTTAATCGCTAGCTTCATGGTAACTGTGACACAAAAGATGTGGAACAGTATTTATATGAAAGAAGGGGAGTACGTATATCCATTGTGTCATTATTATTATTAATGATATTATTAGTTCTACACCGGTTTCTCACACTCGTGTGTACCGAACTATGATAACAACAGTGTGTAGCTCTTATTTTAATTAAAATACTTCTTTATATTTTCATTACTATTATTCAAATTTTACCACTGTGTAAATGCAAGAAAAGAGAGTTTATTATTATTATTAATATTGTTAATCATCATTAGCCATTAAAATCTTAGATATTCTTTTAATTAATATGTAGCTTTCCAATAATATATAATATAGTTAAGTCTGTTACCCCCTAACCGTGGAAAGGTCAATATAGCATGAACTTTTCGATATTTTCCATCACCCCGACTGAAGTTTAATTTCTTCTCTAAACTCTTACCCAGTGTTTCAGCCATGACATAACGCCCAGATAAGAAATTCGTAATATACTATAACAGTGGATACTTTATATATATATTGCAGATAACGAAAGTACTAATAACACTAAATCAACATCCTCATGATCGGCATAAATAGCACGCGTAAATACAATTATAAACAACATCAATATGTATTCTAAATGTAACAATAAAATTATGGAAAACAATATATTATTTACACTTTACAGGTAATTACCACGCCGAAAAGAGAATGCTGCGCATATAAGCAATACCCAAACAAATATCCTTTAAAATAATCGACAATGACTACAAGGAAAACATTGGGATGTTAATATTAATTAAGTTAAATCTGTTTACTTAAGAATATCGCGTTTACATGCGATAAGAAATTTTGACATGCAGTGTAACAATTTTGTCATGATAGAAGACACAAGATTATGCCCGTGTACAGCCGAAATGTATAGTGCGGAAGAAAAGTGACCAGATAATAGTGTTGCATTCGAGAAGGAAATTTACGTGTATGTGAAATAACTAAGTTGATAACCTTTATCAATTGTGCTACATGTCCCTCCATCTCATCCTCCTTGAGCTGAAAACCCTAATACTATTCAGGGATGCGTACAAATTATGAAGCTACTTGTTGTGCAATTTGTCCCTTGTTTTTTGCTTCATCTTTACGAGGTCCGAATTTAGAGTAAAATCGTGGAGTCAGAATATATTTGATAGGATATATATATCTCCTTTCGGTGGGATAATAAGTCATTACTGAGAAGGAAGGCTTTCCTAAATCTGCTTTCGTTTCAATGTGTTTGCGCGCTTACTCAGTGGATAAACTTATAATGAAATATATGAAATTATGAAAATAATATCTTGCTATGTGTGTAATGTCTATTTAGCTTACTAACAAAAGGATTGTTTGAAGTTCAGCGAAACTGAAATTATATTTTTATTTTTATGTATGCATATATTTTGTGTATCCTCTTGTGTATATAAATTTAGGGGATTCTATGCCGTCTCACAACACGTCCATTCTGCTGTACTTAATAAGCGATTGAATTGAGTATATCAATAAATCAATCAGTTTACTATATTAAACACTGCAATATATTTATGATTACCAGTATATATGTACACATCTGAAAATGGGCAACCATGACTGAAATGTGTAGTGTGAAATATAATATACTAATTAATTTATTGATACATTCAATTCAGTCACTTATTATATATAGCAGAATAAACATGTGTGAAAGATTAAAATTCACGCAATGAAATTCTGTTGCAGGTTTCGAACAAATGCAGCAGAAAGGCTGATTCGTGGGACCGAGGCTTTCGACTGGGAATCGTTGCCGAAGAATGACCCTGACACAGGTTCCCTGACAATGGCAGGTTGGATCTCTTTCCTGGACACTGTCATCCGACGTACTGTAGCCATTGTGATGGTATATTTACTGACATACACAGCCGCATCTTTGCTGATACCACACAAACGTGTTCTTCTGTTCAACGCTTGGTTTCCCTTCGACTGGACAGTTAGCCCAACGTACGAACTGATCTGCCTCCAACAGGTAAAAAAATTACGTTAAGTTTCTTCCCGTGCTTATATAATTAGAACTACGCCATGAAAACCTAAGGGTGTGTGGATGTATGGATCCACTTTTCCTTGATCTCGACACTAGTTAGAGGGGAGTGGTCAGCTTCAACCCCGAGGAAAGACCCCCCCAGTACTCATTGAAGATGAGGCTGGATGGACCGCAGAACCGGCAAGGACTACGTGGAGAGAGAACATTCTAGACATTGGTGGGACTCGAACTCCGACCCCTCGGTCGACCAGCCCATAGCCAGTCGCTATACCAGCTGCGCTCCTACAGGTAGCAGATCAGCGGACATATTTCCTTTTGAAAGTCGAAGCGAAGTGCAGAACATACCCGTATTGGTATAGTTATAACGCCTTAGTCTTTATATGAACCCCCTTGGATAAACACGTGGATCTTGTGGGATGTGACACCGTGTAGTTAGCTCGGACGTCACCGTAGTGTCACAGATATATTGCGCCTTAGTCTTCGGGGTCGAAATGGAAGTCAAACAAGAGATCAAGTAGAAGCAGGAAACCTATATAACTTCCCGGCGACGTAAATCAGAGGATTGTATCCTCCATAGTCACCGCCGTGAAGCTTTGAATCATTCCTAGGAAGAGGAAAATTTGTTCATAGCTTAATTATTTAGACATAACGCCATGAAGACGTATCAGGTTGGAGGTAGAGCTCCACATTACTTGACCGCGGCTTTAGACTGTCAGCTTCACGGACTGGCAGCCGTATCTAGCCGCACCCATTGAATAGGTTAGGTTAGGTGGGCCCCGGTGTCGGTGTGGAAACTGTGAAGAAGAGAAATTTTTCCTCTTGGCGAGAATTGAACCCTGTAAGTCCAGTCCGTTTTCATACCCCCTGAGCTATCACGGCTCATTAAATTCTTCTAGATTAAATTTAATTCCCGTATTTTCAAAATATTTTTATTGAATGTTATATTATTTATTTTCAAATATTCTTATTAAGGATGCAACTATTTGCTCCTTCTTCTTTAATTGTATGTGAGGAACCCTTGTTCCATTTCTATGAAGTGACATCCACCCAGATGTTTTCTGTAATACGGTCACATAATACTTCAGTAACACAATGCATAGAAAACGGAAATATAAACTGAGAACAAAACCGGAATGGCTTAATTTTGTTTTCTCCAATAAAGTCCTTACTATCTGCAGAGAAACTCCCCTTGTTGCAGCATGGAAACCCCAGCACTTTCTCTAACCAATTAACTGTTTTTTACTCCTAGGCGGAAATGAGACAACGATCCTTGTTACTTATGTTGCAAGCGGAACCTCTGGATGAAAGAAATGGAAGATTCAGTGAAATGACGATCGGAGGAGGTGATCGAACTACTTGTAGATGTTCTACCCCATTGCCACTTTGTCCGTCACAAATTGCTGACAAATCAGCAGTGAAAGACTTTTTGTGCGACGGCGCAGTGATAGTGCAAGTGTAAATGGAACAGCTTAGGTTAATACTTGTAGCGATTTGAGTAGTAGTTTCTGTGCTGGGATCCGTTGCTAGGAGAGGACTAATAGAGATTGAGAATGCTATTGCGTGCACAACGGTGTGCAAAAATGTGGTAAATGAGCGATAGCCCTGTAGTTTAGGTCTAATTAAAAGAGTGAGTGTAACCAAGTGCCAATAAATCCAATCATCCGAACTAGAACCCGTCGTTTCTTCACGCTTACCATCCTGCACGTGACAATTAATTGAGTGATAATTCAAAGTTGCTTTACAGAAATCCTGTGATTAATTACAGTCTTGCAATGAAAATGAAGCCACCCCCATGCTGCTGTTTTAAATGAATGTTTAAGTTCTTTACTTTTTATTAATTTTGCTGAAGTGGAACTACGTACTTTCTTTACACTCAACCTTTCATTTCTCTTTGTCTACGTGTGCCCTTCTAACCAACATATAATAGCATACATGTACTCCTGTTATTAATATTGCAGTTCATTGGAGCTCTTGTGTTTCTCTTCACTATATTTCCATTCCCCGGCTTGTACGCCACGTTGGTGTGTATCGCGTGTAGTCAGCTGGAGAAGCTGCGAGCGAACCTCCTGGATATCAGACAGGAACTCGACACACCAGCGCAGGACTCGGGCGCTGAGACTGACACAGAGGAGGAAGAAACTCAAGTTCAGACATCTCAGGAAATGTTCTGCCGCATGCAGGAGCAGCTCAGCGACTGTGTACGTCTTCACAACGAGATTCTGAGGTACTGCATATTTTGTATGCAAACAATAATTATTTACTGCGTATAAACTGATATTATCAATGTGGGAAATTCTAAAAATTACAAAGGGCCTATAAATTTTAAAAATTTCATTACAGTAAACTTTCGCCCAATGCGTAAGGTACTTCCCTCGAAAGAGGAACATTCGGTGACTATGCTGGACCAACACAATGATGATGGGTTCTGAACTGAATACTTGCATTATTACATATAGCTGAACAAAATTATTTAAATTGGTTATAACAAATTTATAAGCAAAAGCTGAACCGTCATTAGCTTCTTAAGCAGCAGCAACAGTACTAAAGCATTTAAGTATTATTATTGTCGCGTATCGCGGGGTATATCGCGACAAATAAATTCTCGACGTATTCGATGTAGCGAATTTTATTTCACATCCGCTCTCACAATCACCCAAATTACAATCTGACGATTACTGCTATCTGCAGTATCACAAATAGTACACTCCAAATGCCACAATACAACTGACCTCGGCGACTGTTGCTTTATAACTCAGTACAACTGCGGCTGTCACTTGATAACTCACTGTGAATAGCCTTCGCTTCTCCCTATGTAGCCTCGATCGGACAATACGGGAAAACGGCCACGTAATAGGCACCCTTGTTGCTATGTCGCTGTGTTGCTATGTAACGCTAGCGGAGGTAACCGCTGTTACTATCGTAACGTCGCCGCTGTTGACTCGCGTTGCCTAGCGACCGCGATATCCCTCGGTGACGTCACCGCGGAGGGGAGTGGCGGGGCGGGAACTCGCCTATTACCGTAAGAACGCGAGCGTTACGTTACCGCCACGTACCGCTGGGGAGGTGGGGGTCAGCATGTCACATTATTATTGGTAGTAGTAGTGGTAATGGTGGTGGTTTCCGTATGCTACTTCAGTAGGTTTGGAAGACCGGGTATAATGGAATTTCGACGTTTCGCATATAACCGTTAGGACTTATTTTCACGTGAATAATAGAATCATCCGTGGGTAAGGCTTTGCTCTAACATTACTATATTTCTGTTCCAGGTATATGGAAGAGATGGAGAATACATTGAATCCCTTCATGACTGGAATGTTCCTACTGTCGCTAGCGTCTTTATGTCTGAGTTCCTTTTCTATTGTTACGGTAAGGGGGAAATTTCTGGCTTTATATGCAAAGAGAGATTAGAAGCTTCGATTCCTCATTCAAGAATAAACTATTACTTTAGTCTTTGTTTGAAACATCATCCATGGATTTATTTATTAATACTTAATAACACGGAAATCTGTATGAATTCCGAAATCGCCTCTCTACTATTACATTCGTATAACGTGAAGTAGGTCTATCTCCGAAACTGTTCGGAATAGGACACATGTAGGTACACTTCTCTTTTGTTTAGAATGACCGAAACTGTGGCCTCCCAGAATATTGAGCTTTCCTCCTGGGACACCCTGTATAACACTTTGAATAGACAAATACGATTTATCGCAAAGTAGCCATATTATTTTCCTTACAGAGTTGGGGGAACGTACCTATGATGATCCAAGGAGTTGTAGCCTACTCTACGGTAATAATTCCACTATTCCTCTACTGTTGGTTTGGCAACGAGCTGACATTACAGGTACGTAACTTGTCAGGCGAAGCGTCGTACTTCCAACCAAATGTTATTCTGTAATACTTATGTCGTCTCTCCATTAAGATAAAAATTGAGATTTGGAAAAATAAGACCCTTTGACACAACAACTCTCTAACTAAACATACTACAGATAATCCCTTACAACACGAAGATTTGTATTATAAAATTTCTCTCATAAGGACTTTGGCAGCCGGTCACGGTAGCCGAGCGGTCTAAGGCATATACTGTCATCGCTCGCTTGGAAACCGGGATCGTGGGTTCGAATCCCACTCAGGGCGTGGATGTTACTTTGTGTGTGTGCGTTTTTCTGTGTTTGTGTACAGGTAGAAGCCTTGCGACGAGCTGATCACCCGCCCAAGGAGTCCTATTTAATGTGTAAGATCTAGAAAAACCGAAGTGAACGGAGAAGTTGATGGAGGTAGGCCTAGGCCCACTGGGGCTGTAGTGCCAAGGAAAAAAAAAGACACTTTGTCAAGCAAGCGTTTATACTTGACTTGGCTTGTGAGACGAAGCGGTTAGTGTCATTTGAAGTCCGTTCCAAACAGGGAGAGGAAAGTGCTAACAAACATAGAAGCAAATGAAAACAACGCTCAGAAAATTTGCGTCTTTTATTCTGCTCCCGTGCTCATGTCTTATAAAATTTTATTGTCTTTAAGCAAATTTAATTTTTTTGTTGTACTGGAAGTTGTTGCAGCATGACATGATCTGCAATAGTTGTAACGTACGCGATAATTGTTAGCTTCGTTTCAGGCAATAAAATTTGCGATTTACTTATTTTTTTTTTTAGTTTTAGGAAAATTGCTCGAAATTACAAACTGCACGTGTGAGAAACAGCTGTCTCGTTATGAACGGTCTCTAGGAAACTGACTGTTCGCCAGAACGTGGGCTACCTATGGTAGTGTTTGTATTAACTGTATTTCCATTTCCTTTGCATGATTTATTCGCGTAAATTGTATACTTAATAATATTTTAAGGATATCAAAATTTGAAATATTCGCGCCGAACTTCATTTAACGAGGGACACGCGGTAGCATACTTGGTTGAGCCTTTATCCTACGAGCCGGAAGATCCCGGTTTCGAGTCTCGATTAGGTGGACTTTTCAATTGACATAATCCTTCCAGCTGTACTATTGCACTTGGGTTTTGATAGATAATCGCTATTCTGACAGTCGCACGAAACACGTAAATACAGTATGAGTTTGAAAGGGGAGATTGATTTTAACTGAAAGCATTCATACACAGCACCCATTGTGCCTTAAAGCGACAAATAGAACAAAGAAGTATACTGCTAGGACTAGAATGTAACGCGTAGAACAGTTGTATGCAACGACCGCGAGATGGGCAGATATATAGGGACGTTTCTGAGCGGCGGCTCGGTAAACACCTTTCCGTTGCTAGACAGCAAATTCTTTATAATAGAACAGCTGGACTGCAACAATAAAAAAAGCTATGATTTCGACGTCCATTCCGAGATATAAACAAGCGACAAGGTCAGTTGATAGTTCTTTAAAGGAGTCAGTGAATAGAAGACTTGAGTCGGAGGCCGAGGAATAGCCATTGTTGGAGCCGTTTCCAGGAAACGTCTAGTAATAGGCTAAGAACACAAGACTCTATGTTCTCGTAAACTGTAAAGTGTGTCAGTCAGTGATAGTGTTATAGTTAATTGTAATTACGAAATGTAAGTGGTCAGAAAATCCATTCATCAATCCAAACCCCGTCTATAGTGACTCCCACTATATGAAAGTAAGCTTAGCCTTAATGAATAATCATTCCCTTTATCTTTAATCCTCCTGTGTTATCACTTCTTGCAGAAACATGCAAATGTTCAAACGTTAATAGGTTTCATATTTCAGGCGGAGAAAGTGCGAGAAGCTGCCTGGGGCTGCGACTGGGTCGGAACTCCCATTTCTTTCCAGAAGTGCATCAGATTAATAATAGCAGCAGCTAACAAGGAGTTCACTCTCACAGCCGGAAAGTTCGTGCCAGTGGCCATCCGGACCATGGTCAATGTACGTCTTGATTCTAAATAAAAGAATAATTCTTACATAAAATAGTAAAGTAAATTTTCAGTTTCCCCCATTCTTTCCACACAGAGAGACAACGCAAATTAATGAAAAGAAATGCGCATAAGGCATTTAAGTTAATACATTAAACGTTATTAAGCAAATTAATTTCAAGGTCATCTAAATCCGTTGCCAGAATATTGCGAAATTAAAACAAGAAAATTATTTCGTGAACGTGTGTACTAAGACAAAAATAAAATTATGTGTTTCACATAGATATTGTCGAACTGACTAAATCCAGGGAAATGAACCCTTCTTCAGTAGCTGCCGGTAGCCCAGCTACTCAAAAATAAAGACAAATAAATGTAAAACTGACCCTGTTAACATGCCGTGGAGGCCAGTACGTTTGCGAGGCGTCGAGGCTCATACGTTTTCCAGATAAATGGCTCACATACGTTGGTTAGTTTGTCAGCCCTATGGGCCAACAGCCCTTAATCCCAGGGAGATCTCTGGTACTCATTTCTGTTGGAGACTGAGTGGGTTCAAGGGCCGTAGTGCGGCTGTAAGATTTAGGCCAATTGAAAAATCCAGTGACCTTATCAGGAATAGAACCCGCAACCTTCAACAATTCTCCACCGGTCCCCATCCAGAACCAGACGAATCCAATTTATACAACCCCATATTATTTTTCTAGACAAAGAAACAAACAAAACAAACTCCATGTCTTTAGTCCGCAAGCGAACTATACCGACCGAATGACCGCCACTTGTCGACGAAGTTAGTGTAAACTATAGTCGCTAGAGGGTGTCGCATGGCTAGCGTAACGAATAAAAGTAAAATAAAAATTGTACTGGTTTTTAAGAGTATACTCTCAGATTAAAGTTAAGATCTATATTAAGAATCTCGGGGTTGCCGCTATGATAGAATAAGATGTTTATAAGAATTGCTACAGAAGGCCGGATGGGCATTGCCTAGGTCTTTTTTTTTTGTATTTACAATAAAAAATCCTCACGGTCATTAATTTCGGTTTTCTAGACCGGAGCCGCTACTTTTCCAATCAAGTAGGTCCTTCATTATCCTCACGAGGCTGAGTAGACCCCGTTCTAGATCCACTACTTCTCAGAAAATCTGGTAGCTCCGGAATTTGAACTCGGGACCTCTGGATCTGTGCCAGTAACTCTTACCACTATACCACAGTCGCTGTCTACATTTTTCTAGAATATATTTTAATATTATTCTACGAGCTGCATCTAGATCTTCCAAGCGTTTTCTATCTTTCTGGCATTCCCACAAAATTTATACATTCCTCTTCGCTCCAATGCGTGTTACATGTCCTGCCAAGCTTGACTTGATCATTCTAATTACGTTTTGTCAAGAGTCACAAGTTACGAAGCCCCTCATTATGCTTGAAGTTCTCGATATCTACTTTAATGTAAAATATTAAGTTACTGCTTAGTACTTTATTGGATCTGAAGTTCTCATTGCGTTAGCTAGGAAGACTACGGTTGTAAGGTTGTGTATTTCGAAAAATCCCGTGTTTCCAGAGGAAGATGTTGCCTCGATCTTCAGGTTCGTAGATGAAGCCACCAGAGAAATGTGTTTTACGGACCTACAGGGCGTAAACAATATATAAGACCAAAGTCTCCAATGCATGTACAATATAAACATATCCCTACGTGTAAGATTTGAATTTTTCCCGGCGGTGACTATGATGAAAGCAGTTTTCCGGGATGTGGCGCCGTGTAGATTTAGTGTTAAACGACGTTTCGGAGGAACGTATCGCCTCCATCTTTAGTGTAGAAGGCAAGAAGAAATCCGCTAGCGAACAAGCGTGAGAAGATGCAACAGGCTGTTATACCCTGAAGATGGAGGAGATACGTTCCTCCGAAAAGTCTGTTAATACTATATCTACAAGGCGCCACATCGCAGAAAACTGTTTTCATCATATCCCTACATTACTAAATTTTTCCAGAGCTCACAATTGGTCTGTTATTCAGAAAATCAACAAAATAGTTTTTGTTTGTGATTGCAGATGGTTAATCAAAGCATCTCTTACTTCATGTTTCTACTTCAACTCAAGGACAACATCGAATTAGACGAACCAGCCAACAGTGTGTAGCGTCTCTACAAAAGGGTGTATAGTCTTACAGTAGTGCAGAACACGTCGCGCAACAATTGTTCACAGAATGTAGCAAAAGTGAACAATATACTTATATATGCAAACATGCCACACATTGCACATAAATGAGGAGCTCTTGCTTAACTCTTAATTGTTACTGAAACCTGATAGAAGTAAATAATCTTACCTATCAAATCTAATTTCATTATTTCGCCTTCTTCAGTCTATCCTTAGAAGAAATAAGACCTTAGCTCAAAATCTACAGGCATGACATCTGTGTATGGAAACAGAAGGTGCTACTATATGAATAGAGGTATAGATAACCGAAGGAAAAGATCCGAGGAGGAACCACGGTAGCTCGGTCAATGTAGTGACTAGGCTACGAACTGAGCGACCTAGATAACTGGATTTGACCTCAGGCTTCTCTATTTCCTGAGAATCTAAACTGCCCCTGTGGCACACATATTCCAGTTTAGCGGGTAACTGGCTCTCTCTCTCAGAGAGTAAAGTGGCGCGGACGGTCCGATCCGCCAAACATGTTGCCGACCCCAGAGTTGTGTGATATTCATGTTATGACCGGGCTATACTGATCACCACAATCCTACAGGCGTCCAGTTGAGTAGACTTTTCAAAATTTCAAAAGTTTCAGCGACTGTTTTCTTTAATTTTACACAACACTTAATCGCTGTTATTTGTTTCTTTTTGAAACCACCAACGACTAAAAAGCCAACTTCGTTCTCACTAACTAGTCCTCTTCATCCCCGACAGATGGCACTAGTAGTATTAGTGCAATGGTGTCATTCGGGAATTTATGTATCAAATGTGTGTACTTACATTTCTCTGCGTTTGCTGCTAGACCAACCTCCTCACTATCGTTAGTTAAAGTTTTTGTGTTTTTCTTTATGGTATCTATGTTATGTCAGTAGATTCACATCCTTAATGTTATGCATCCTGTTTTGTTTTTAAGAAAATATATCACTTGGGACAATCGCAGAGCAAATAATAAAAAAGAAATAAAATGGATACTGCAGTGTCAACATTTGTTTTTATTTTTTTTGTGGTACTGCTACATATTTCGACCCTTTTCTTGGATCATCGTCAGACGTACACGAATACTGTTAGGCTTCTGAATTGCGTCATTAATCAATATGAATTCATAGCGTGTCTGTATGATTATTCTATACTCACGATTGTATCTTAAGTATAGTTAAAACTGGACATTAACCTTCATGATAAATAAATAAAAATTACAATTAAAATTATAATTAAAATGGGTAATAAGGTGTTTATAGATAATATTACAAATTCCATTAAACCTTGTATCTGCTACATATCATATGTGTGTTGTCTGCTGTTCCAATATGGTAGTGCTATTGTGCTGTAGGATATCTGCTTACTGGAATCATTCATCAGAATACAGATCGTGTTGGAGTTTTGACCTTCCTCAAAAATGAGTATATACTTTTTTATATATATGTTTATGATTGGTATTATATAGGATATCACGTTATGTTCTTATCCATAAAGGTTACCTATCAGCAGCATAGTCCAGCAGCTGTTGTGTCCCTTTTAATTTCAGTTCAGGTTATTACGAAAGAATATTCCAACGATGAGGTATGTAAACATGTCATTGTGTTTCAGATCATAGAAACATTTGACTGAGTATCTGTCCATGTACCCAGCTTTCTACATCGTCGTAAGATAATTACATTTTTTTGCAGCCAAAAATATTGAGTTCTGGAATGAATTCTTACGGCCTACACAACGAAGCAGCATTTTACGTCGGGTAGAAACCTGGCTGTCAGTAATTACATGCACTTATTCTCCTAGGAGCAGGTCACGGTAGCCTAGCGGTCTAAGGCATGTACTGTCTTCGCTCGCTTGGAAACCGGGATCGTGGGTTCGAATCCCACTCAGGCATGGATGTTTTGTTTGCGTGTGTGCGTTTTTCTGTGTTTGTGTACAGGTAGAGGCCTTGCGACGAGCTGATCACCCGCCCAAGTAGTCCTACCGAATGTGTAAGATTTAGAAAAACCGCAGTGAACGGAGGAGTTCGTGGAGGTAGGCCTAGGCCCACTGGGGCTGTAGTGCCAAGGAAAGAAGAAGAAGGGCTTGCGCTATAATTACTGGTAGTTCCGAGTCGTGAGTGGAATGGGATCGTTAACTAAATTGTTCAATATTTTTTAAACAAGTTTAAGTTGTTGCTTCTTTGCTTTGGTGAAGGTTTTACTGAGATGGCGAAGCTGGCTTCCGGGACTGTTAGTTCTTCCATTTGGCTAGAGATGGCAGAATGATAAAGCTATTTTATTCATGCCAAAGTTTGTTTCAAGTGGAACGTTCTGCTGTAAGAAACAATACGTAGTAGGATTATAAAGTACTGTAGGCACACTTGCAATAGCGACTCGTCTGTCTCCAATTGTCAATAATTATTTTAGCGAGCTCCTTACGAAATCGAGTAAAATGAAACTCACACGAAAACGTTATAGACATTTTTCTACTAAGGGAAAACAGACCGACTGTGTGGTTTAGTGGTCAGAGTTCTTGGCTACTGATTCAGAGGTCCCAGGTTCGATTCCGCGTGCTGCCAGATATTTTCTGAGAAGTAGTGGATCTGGAACGGCGTCCACTCAGCTTGGATAATTGAGGAGCTACTTGAATGGAAAAGTAGTGGCTCCGGTCTAGAAAACCGAAATTAACGGCCGTGGGGATTCGTTGCGCTGACCATGCGACACCAACTATCCGCAAAAATTTGTACTAACTTCGCCGACAAGCGGCGGTCGCTCGGTCGGTATATTTCGCTTTCGGACTAAAATCATGGAGTTTGTTTCGTTCTTTTTCTTTGTATTAAGAGAAAACAGTTCTTAATCAATTTTACATTTCTTTCCCTCTTTACATATTATTTCCTCCCTTTTCGTGTGTTGTTTATACACGCGTTCTGTATCTGTTTTTTATTTTCTCTGTCTCTTCCTACCTCCGCTTCCTTCTCTTTCTCAGCTTGCTTTTGACTTCCTCTCAGTTTTCATTCTTTTTCTCTCTCATTTCTCTATATATTTCTTCCTAGCGTTTCTACGTGTATTTCACTTTCCTCTCCTCTCTCTCTCTCAATGTGATTCTTGTTCACTCCAAGTGCTGCTCACTCACATAGGACAGCCACGCAGGCGATAATTTGGGTCAACATATTAAGGCAGAACTTGTAGGAAGCAGATCATGGTTTCTCTGATCAGGTTCTGACGTGGGATGTCCCGTGTGAAACATAGGAGACTTCAACGCAACCGGCAACGTTGTTGGTAAATCACAAGCGCTCTGAAATTTAACTACACTGTTGGACCTGAGGTTCTCACGGTGATGATTAAGAGCATCAAGGTCTTGCGGGTTCCCACGCCATGTAGTTCCGTGAGAGTACGACGTTTCGGAGGAACAGATCTTCATATTCTGCATCGAATTATGAGCCAAGCAACATGCGGTAAGCTGGGTCCAGCATCCATGCATTAAACAAAATACTATTGTATTAAAATGAAAAATAAATTAATATAAATATGTGGAAGTCTCGCGATACCGAACAAATACAAATCTTTGCCTCTTCGAACACTATAGGGGTATGGCCATTGAAAGAGTCTGTAAGTTATGTACTTTCGTGCTCGCGGGCGCGCGTCTTCCTTACTAAGAGCACAATCCTGCAACTTAGCTTTAGCAATCTGGAGCAGAGATGGAGTCTGGCTAAGAGCTGGATAATCGAAGATTCGAAATTCGAGTCCCAACTGAGGAAGAGTTTTCTCTTCTCCACATCGTGCAGACCGGCTCTGGGGCCCACACAGCCTCCTTATCAAATGGGTACTGAGGGACTTTTTCTGGTGTAAAGCGGGCGGGGCGTGAAGCTGACCGGTCACGTCCAAATAGTGTCGACATCAAGAAAATGTGAAACTAAACACCCACTCCCCTGTACGCCTTTAAGGGAAGGGAAAAATAACTGGTTGGATTTTGACAACAAATTACTGAGTAGATACGTTTTTGGCCGAAGGGGGGTGGGGGATGAGAGAAGAATGTCAGGGATCTTATAACCAATAGCTTCTTAATTTGTACTTTTCAGCGAATATTACTATGATAATCATATCGTCGCGAAAGAGGCGAAANCGAAAGGTACATGCATGTGATATACGATAAATTAAAGAAATTTAGTCGAAGACCTGAATAAAAGAGATAATTTAGAGGATAGAGAAGGAATGGAGAGGGAAGTATCAGAATTAATCTCAGAAAAATGACACAATTTTTACCAGCTCAGACACTACCAAATGCCCAAGATATCTGCTGAATGGAGACACTTTCCAGTTCATTGGTCATTTCGATCATGTGCGGTAAAACCTGTCTTAAACGGAATCTCAAGGGACCAGAAAATTTTCCGCTGAATCCAGGTTTCCGTTTAATCAAGGTGTACTATAATAACTAAACCAGGACATAAAGGTATTTGAAACAAAACAAAACAACATGCTCATTAATTTATTCACACTATACTTATTGAACACATGCAAACATTACACTGAACAGGAAAAAATTGCTGTACTCACTTTTTATAATTTTACCAGAACTCCGGCACAGTTTTTTGCACGCAGTTTACTCTCTTGGCTGCCTGACTTTCCGCAAACACTTTAGCTTGAGAAATTAGAGTAAGCATGTCTGAATCATTCCGTTGCAAGGGAAACTCCCGCAGTACCTTAGACTGTTGGCAGCAACCTGCACTTTTCTTCTTCTATCACAATGTCATCTTCCTCTTCTTCCTCTTCCTCCTCCCCTTCTCTTCCTTTTCGATATTCTCTAAAATTCTCAACTAATACATCGATATCCATTGTGTATGGTTCTGTTTGCACATCTTTGTCTATGTTGATGTAGTCCTCAGCATTGTAGTTACTGAAAGCAGCTTCATTCATGCAATGATGTAAGTCCTTCTGGTCATTCCCATTTTCTGCACTAGGAGTAACTTCTGCCGTAGAAAATCCTCCTTTTTCCAAACACTTTGTCACAGTTTCTGGTAACAACTTCTTTACTGCTTGACTTATCCAAATAACCGCATCTAGAACCGAGACAGTTCTTGCAAGTTCAGAGGCGGATGATGTAGAATCTATATTTACGAGCAAAGA